TGATATCAAATGCAAGGATTGCTATTATTAATATTTATTGTCTACTGTATGTGCAATTGCAATCAGAAGTATCACAATCACTGCATCACTGGCTGGAAATTTCAAGTAACCTAAAGGAAAGGAAGAAGATTTGAACCCAGGAATTCATTTAAAAAGCAGCTAAATGTAGTAAAACAGGCCAATTACTGATTCTTGTAGAGGATTATTGCTGACAGAACGTAAGTGCACTGAAGTTAATTGGACGTTCTCCAGTGGAGGTAATTTAATAAGTGTAACAAGTCCAAATCCTAAATACTAAAGCATTTGATGGATTCTTCTCAGCTGCCTAATGTGTTGAAGGGCTCAGAAACAAGAAAAAACTGAATTTTTTTTGCAGCAGTTTGCTTGGAGCGATAATGAAATTCAACACTCTGTCCTTCACAGGCTCTGGTCACTCTAGGACATCTAGCTAACTTTATCAGAGACCCAATTGTAAGCCAGTTTGAAAGGCTGAAGACAAGAGGTTGCGTGTCCTTGCCAGTGAATGGTTATATTAATAATTTGTTTGCTGCCCGACTGCAGGTAATCCTCAAGTTCAAATATTGAAAAGATTGCACCAGATGTGGGCAACACACGCAACTAGAACAATAGCTGCATTTACAGCTCGGTGGCTAATTTGCAGCCATGTTATCACAAACTAATATGATTCACTAGGCAACCCCACCCCAGGCCATAGCCATTCACCACCCTCCTCCTAACCTATGCCATTTCTCTTCGATTCCTCCGCCCAAAATCATTGACCAAAGGGGGAAAAAAATGGTAGATCCGGTGTTGCACTATTACTTTTTTTTGACCGGGCTAAAAAAAAATCTGATAAATGGGAAAGCCCAAGCCAACAACAGCATCTCTATAGCGCCCTTGACACCAGATGGCATCTCAGCACTTGAAGAAATGGCTCGTAGAAATGGCTTTCAAACACTCTGCGATGCAGGGGTTTATGATGTACATGAATCAAGGACTATTTTTTCAGAAAGCTTGAGTAGGGCACTTAGCTTCAGAGCTGCAGGGTCTCACGTAATGCATTTGAATGACAAAATGTCTGGTTACAGCAAAGAGATTCCCCCACAACATCAGGAGCATCTAAGCTCCTTTGAAGCTTCTGCACTTAGACAAAGAATGTATTTTTCCCCTCTTCATTATCCTTAGTTTCATTCTTCGTCTGCTTTAGACCTTCGATTCATAAAATACAATCATTCAACAAAAACTTTGACAAAATAATTAAAACCACTGAGATTTTCCTTCTGCCCTGAAAATATCTGGATTTGGACCACAGAAGGTACCAAACAAACCTCTCAAAAAAACAGCATAATTGAGACATCTCAAAGCACTTCACAGAATATACTGGATTGACTGTATCTTTTGGAGGAGAAAATGCAGCAGCCAGTTAGTGCACAGCAATACCCCACCAACAGAGATGGAGTGAGTGACCGATATTATTTGGAGGATTTATTGGCCAGGAAGAACACCGGGAAAAACTTCCTTCTCTTTTTGAATAGTGCCATGGGATCTTTAACATCCACCCAAACAGACGGGACCTCGGTTTAACATTTCATCTGAAGGACATACCTACCTCCAACAATGCAATACACCCCTAGAACGCCTAATAATAATCCCTCCAAAAAAACAAAGCAATAATAAATTGGTCATTTTCAATCTACGACTGTTTGTGGGACATTGCTGTGCGCAATTGGCTGCCGCGTTCGCCCACAAATATACAGTCAATTCACTTTACAGTGTGTTCTGTGAAGCGCTTTGGGACGTCCTCCCGACGTGAAAAGCGCTATATCAAATGCAAGGATTATTATTATTATTATTATAGAACTGCAGCTTAGACAATGTGGTTCAAAGTCCCAGAGGAAGACTCAGAGGGAAGAGCGACACACATGATCCATATACAGCAGTAACATTTTGAAGGGTTCATTGAAGTCTTTTGACATTTCCCAACAAATACTACACAATAGTCTGAGAGATCTTTTTTAAAAATGCTGATCTTAATCCCTTAATGACAAAAGAACTTCACCTAGTCTTATTCAGAAACTTGTCCTATCATTCAGTGTTGATCTCATGCAGCGTTAAACGATTCATTTTTATATTGTTCCTTCCATAATCTCTTTCTCATTCACAGTCTTTCTCCAAATCTAATTACCCTTCTTTTTCTTGCTTGCCATTGCAATCATTCCTTAAATTAGAAACCCGATTACCCAATACAATTAACTTCGATTGAAGGAAACCGTAAGCCTTTAACTGATTTACCAGATGAATCACCTTTTTCTGTGGATCCACAAGAAATTGCGAAACTGGAGAGAAAAAAATACACTCCATGTACATAAATTAAGTCCTTTATGAAATCACTAGGAAACATTATTCACTTTATCAACGCATATAACTCATACACTGGTATGACCTGAAACTGTCAGTTCGATTCAGAAATCATACTTTTTAGATGCATTCATACGCTACTTTATCCATGCATGCTTTAAATGTGCAATTGTTCCGATTTTTTTCCCATCCAGGCATGGATATGTGAAGGCATCCACACTGCACTGATTAGATTACCTGCAGATGCTGGCTCCTCGGATATCAATTACAAATAACGCTATCAGCTTAAAAGGGCACTGTCCCTCATGTACAAGTGGAAGTGCAAACCCTTTTCTAGTGTGGATGCGAAGAGTTGGAAGGACCATTTGTCACTTCTGTAAGGATGTCTTCGTGCCCAAGTGATATGACGGTGTGCTTTAGGAGAGACGCCCCCCTGACGGCGAGCTGGGCGCCATACCAGTGTCATTTGTGGTTTGCTGCTTGAACACTATTTATTGGGACTTGCTGTGCATTTGCCAAAGGAAGACAGCTTTTGTAATTGCCGAGCCATGAAGACGATATGCCTTTTTTTAAAAAAAAAACCCCACTGTGTGTGTGTGTGTGTGTGTGTGTGTCGGGGGGTGGAATCCAAATTGCTCGTATCACTAATACTGTTGGAAACCCACAACGCAAAAATGTTTCGAGTCTCACTGGCCATCATCTCCCCGAAGAGACTTCCAAGCACTCACTTGGGTAAGTCCAGCACCTGCTGCAGCATTTCCCTCGTGTAAAGCAAAGCTGCTATCCACAGTTTATAATAAATAAATAATAACAACAATAATAATCCTTGCAATTGCTGAGGAAGTGTGATAACCCGAGGAAGCCTTCACTGCTGGACATCAGCACCATCCAAACACAGTGAGTGGATTAAACCAGTGAGACGTTCGTACATTGATCTTTATCGTCTGAAAGTGTTGAGAAGAAGAAGGTGGGGTGGGAGGGGGGGGTGTGGGGGTGTGGGGGGGGGGCTCTGCAAAATCTCAATTGGATAAAATACTGACCATTAAACCCGTTCTCCTGCTCTGGTGTGTGCAACACCTGTCAGAACTCACACACACACACACACACCATCTCATCTCCTGGCCACAGCTGCACAAGTTTACGACGCCTCGCACAGGAGATACCACATTAAATATATATATATATATATATATATATATATTATATATATAATTTACCGACCCTTAAGGTTTTGGTGGTGCAGTTTGATGGGCGTTATTTGAACGCGAGAGAGACACGGATTTTTTTGTGTTTTTTTTTAAAAAAAGGGATAAGCAATCCTGCGAGTGCTCGTTACAAACCACTTCCTACTTAAAAACACAGTACCACCGAGGAGGACAGTGAGAGAGAGGGCATCGCAGCTCAGACAGTGACTGAACAATCTCCAGACGCGTTTTCAAACGATATTATTAATAATTATTAATAATTATTATTATTTATTAAATGTTTATTTCAGGCAGACTTCGCTGAGGGGGGGATTGTTCCCCACCCCCCCCACCCACCCCCCCCCCACCCCCTCCCCCCCCCACCCCAACCCCCCCATCTCCAGCCCCGGACAGTTTCAGCTGTGACATTATTCCACATTGGCAACAACCTTTCAGGAGAGAGTCAGGAACTGACCCCCACGTTACACACACAGCGCTGCCGCAAGTCCAGCATTCACCTGCAAGTGCACACACACACAGTCACTACACCGACACGGTCACCACAGCACCACAGTCACTACAGCACCACAGTCACCACAACACACACACACAGTCACGACACCGACACAGTCACCACAACACACACACACACAGTCACGACACCAACACAGTCACCACAAGTCACTATACCGACACAGTCACCACACCGACACAGTCACCGCAACACAGTCACTACACCGACACAGTCACCGCAACAGTCACTACACCAACACAGTCACCGCAACAGTCACTATACCGACACAGTTACCACAACACAGTCACTACACCAACATAGTTACCACAACACAGTCACTACACCACACAGCCTTACCACAACACAGTCACTACACCACACAGCCTCACCACAACACAGTCACTACACCACACAGCCTCACCACAACACAGTCACTACACCACACAGCCTCACCCACAACACAGTCACTACACCACACAGTCACCACAACACAGTCACTACACCAACACAGCCTCACCACAACAGTCACTGTACCGACACAGTCACCACAACATAGTCACTACACTAACACAGTCACCACAACAGTCACCACAACACAGTCACTACACCACACACACACACACACAGTCACTGTTCACTCCCCGTGTGCGGCGCTGTGAGAGGCGAAGGCAGCGGTTTGGTGTCGGTGTTCGGGGACCCGGAGCGCGGGTTTGGTGCTGAGTCTCAGTTCCTCCTTTTCACACAGTTCTGACGGGAATTGTGGGCAGTTCGCGCCAAACGGACATTTCCAAAGGGAACGGTCTCCCTCCTCCTGTACCACATTCCCTCCCTTTCACCCCCCACTCCCCCCCTCCCTCCCCCCCCCCCCCCCCCCTCCCCCCCCCCTCCCCCCACTCCCTCTCCCCCACTCCCTCTCCCAATATATTATATAATTCAAGTCTCACCTCGAACAAAGGACCGATCCTGTTTTTCTCCAAATAGCCTTGAATCCTGGACTGCTGAGACGCCATCAAAATGATGCTCCTGTTTCCCTCCTCTCTCTCTCTCTCTCTCTCTGTCCCTCTCTCTCCTCTCTCTCTCTCTCTCTCTCTCTCTCTCCTCTCTCTCTCTCTCTCTCTCTCTGTCCCTCTCTCTCTCTCTCTCTCTCTCTGTCCCTCTCTCTCTCTCTCTCTCCTCTCTCTCTCTCTCTCTGTCCCTCTCTCTCTCTCTCTCTCTCTCCACACCCACACCCCCCGAGTTGAGGAAAGAGGGAGAGGAGAGGAGAGGGTTAAAAGAGAAGAAGAATACAAACGAGGGCTGTGTGACACAGGGATTAAAAACACACAAACTTTGGGGGAGGGGGAACTCTGCAAACTTTCTCGCTTTAAATCAGGAGGAAATAAATATTCGGGGCAGTGACTGAGTGTCTGAGCGGATCGCGGGGCTCTGGTCCCGACTCAGCCTCAGCCTCGGGGTGAGCGCGGGGCCGGTGAGGAGGCGCTGCTCGGCGGCCGCCTTTAAACCCGAGGCGGCGCGTCGCCCGTTGCTCCCCAACGACGGGCATCAGCTCCACCTCCCCCGTCAATCAACCCCCGGCCCCGCCTCCCGCCCGCTGATTGACAGGTCCCTCCCTCCCACTGATTGACAGGTCCCTCCCTCCCTCCTGCTGATTGACAGGTCCTTCCCTCCCACTGATTGACAGGTCCCTCCCTCCCACTGATTGACAGGCCCCTCCCTCCCACTGATTGACAGGTCCCTCCCTCCCTCTCACTGATTGACAGGTACCTCCCTCCCACTGATTGACAGGTCCCGCCCTCCCTCCCACTGATTGACAGGTCCCTCCCCACCCTCCCACTGATTGACAGGTCCCTCCCTCCCTCCTGCTGATTGACAGGTCCCTCCCTCCCACTGATTGACAGGTCCCTCCCTCCCTCCTGCTGATTGACAGGTCCCTCCCTCCCTCCTGCTGATTGACAGGTCCCTCCCTCCCTCCTGCTGATTGACAGGTCCCTCCCTCCCTCCTGCTGATTGACAGGTCGCTCCCTCCCACTGATTGACAGGTCCCTCCCTCCCACTGATTGACAGGTCCCTCCCTCCCACTGATTGACAGGTCCCTCCCTCCCACTGATTGACAGGTCCCTCCCTCCCACTGATTGACAGGTCCCTCCCTCCCACTGATTGACAGGTCCCCTCCCTCCCACTGATTGACAGGTCCCTCCCTCCTGCTGATTGACAGGTCCCCTCACTCCCGCTGATTGACAGGTCCCCCCCTCACTCCCGCTGATTGACATGTCCCATCATTCCTGCTGATTGACAGGTCCCTCCCTCACTCCCGCTGATTGACAGGTCCCTCCCTCCCGGGCTGCAGCAAGAGGCAGGGCTGTGCGGCTTGTTTGGTCGCAGGGATGATATGGGGGAGGGGAGGATGGGGGTTAGGTGGAGGAGAACGTTAAGTGAACCATCCCTGCTTTTCTCAATCAATGCTGCGGCTTCAGTTACGTTGGGCCAAAGAGAGACATCTATCAGTGAGGAGCATTGCAATTCATTGCTCAGCCGAATATTTAATAGTTTGCATTTTTTTCCCAATCGTTTTATAGGGCTGTACATCCCCAGCAGGATTCTCATTAATAATCGTTACGTACAGGACTTGTTTCTTTCTGCAGTGGGTGAATTTGCTGGTTACTATCCTGAACCACTTGACTGAAGTGCTTGATGTGTATATTAAAAGAGGGGGAAATCGGACCATACGGCATTTCCTCTGTGGCAGGCTGCATGATAAATTGATTGCTTGGGTACAGGGATGGCTGAACAATAACAACTACTTGCACTATATATAAAATCCTTGCGTTGTCACTCCCAGCTGTGACAAATGTTGAAACTTATCACCACGCTTAACAGTATCCAAACCAAACAGAGTTGCAAGCGTGCCACCTACACATGGAAATTCCCGCATCTGGAATGGTATCTGCCCTCTCTTGCAGGAGGACTCGCTCTACTTACTTAATTGCAGAGAGTGTTAGGCCTCGGTTGCCAAGGCTAAGGGGCCCCAGAGTGTTTCCCTGTTTCAGTTTCCCTGTGATATGGATTTACTGTAAAATGTAATGACTGTATATTTTATAAAGGCAGTGAAAGCTTGTTGCTGCCCAGGAAATGCCCCCTTAAGACCTTAATTTTGTCAGGATAATAATAATTCTTGCATTTGATATAATACCTTGGATACAGCAAATTCCCACAAACAGCCGTGAAATGAATGGGCAGTTTTATTTGGGCGATTGTTGGCCAGGATACTGGGAGAAACTCCCTTCTCTTTTCGTTTAGTGTTGTGGGATCTTGAACATTTACTTGAACAGGCAAACAGGATATCAGTTTAATATCTCATCCGAAGGCCGGTCCTCTGAGACATTGCTGTATGCGAATTGGCTGCTGTCTTTGCCTATAAAATACACAGTCACTAGACTTTACAAGAAATCCTGTAAAGTGCTTTGAGATGTCCTCCAAACGGGAAAGGCATTACAACAAACATCAACACTATTTAAGCGGATTTATTTCTACAGATTTTGCACCTAGTATCAGCAACGATCACTTTCATGGAGGTTATGAACTATGACTAAAAATAATAATCCTTACATTTGAAATGGCACCTTTCACAGAACATCTCAAAGTCCTTCACAGGATACACTGTAAAGTGAAGTGAATGTGTATCTGATAATAAATAATAATCCTTGCATTTGATGTAGCGCCTTATCACGTCTTCGAGACGTCTCAAAGCGCTTCACAGAATATACTATAAAGTGAATTGACTATATTTTGTGGGCGAAATGTGGCAGCCAATTGCGCTCAGCAGTGTCCCACAAACAGTCATGGATGGAAGTGACCAAGTTAATATTTTTTTTGTAGGAATTATTAGCTCCGGAAAAGCGATCCGCCAATTGACTAACAACCGGGTTCCTATTTACTGCTAGGTAAACAACAACAACAACAACAACAAGATTCCATTTATAACGCTCCTTTCACGTCAGGAGGACGTCCCAAGGTGCTGCACAGTTGGGTCATGACCCGAGCAGGGGGGAAATGGTCAGGGTGAGGGGAGGGAAGGGAGGGAGCGAGGAGGGGGAAATGGTCAGGGTGAGGGGAGGGAAGGGAGGGAGCAAGGAGGGGGAAGAGAGTCGAGAGGGGAGCTGAAGGCTCGGTCAAAGAGAAAGGTTTTGAGACCGGCCTTGAAGGAGGAAAGGGAGGAGGCGGCGAAGGCACTGGGGGATGGAGTTCCAGAGCCTCGGGGCTGAGAGGCTGAAGGCCCGACCACCGATGGTAGGGCGGTTGGGGCGGGGGACGTGGAGCAGACCGGAGCCAGAGGAACGGAGGGTACGGGCAGGTAGGTAGGGGGATAGTAGGTTGGAGAGGTAGGAGGGAGCAAGGCCGTGAATGGCCTTGTAGGTGAGGATGAGGATCTTGAAATCAAGAAAACAGAAATGTGTGGAGTAAAGAAACTTGCCCAATGTTTCGTCCTGCCGGGAATCAAACCCAGGTCTCTCACTTGTGAGGCGAGTGCTCTAACCACTGAGCTACAGGACTCCACATTTTGTAGATGAACAATTCGTAATGAATTGGGGTTTGTAGATGTATGCCCACTGGGAATTGCATTGATATTGCTCGAAGTTTACAGCTAGAATATTAGCTGCATATATAATAAAGCATACATCCCAGGGTTGGGAGGACAGATTAACCTGCTGCACTAACCGTCCTTTAATTGGGTGACTTTTAAAACAATAGTCATTATTATATTAATGAACCATTTAATATTAGTTAATAATTAATGAACAAAGCCCAGAAAAACCCAGAGAATGAGTAATCTCTCAGCTTCTTTCACTGCAGGACACATTCCAACCAGCACACACGGGTAAGGAAGGAATCTGACACATGGGATTGCAAAATCATTAAATTAAATGTTACATCTCTTGGACAATTGCTAGATTTCTGTTAATTGAACGTGCGCCTGACACATGCAGCTACTACCTATCACCAAATAAAAATAACTAAGAGTACCCAAATCAAGCAGAGTTCCATGCATCCCACCTACACATGGAAATTCGATAGACATTTATTGAAATGGAATGCACATGGTCCTCTCTGGAGAGATGTATCCTGTTTACCTAATTCCGGAGAGTATTACAACAACAACAACAACAAATTACACTTGCAAAGCACTCTTCATGTTAGAAGGACATCCCAGGGCGCTGGACAGTCAGAGGTTTTTGAACCCGAGCTGGGAGTTGGGGTCAGGAGGGTGGAGGGCAGGGGGTGTCAGGGTGACCAAAGGCACCGAAGAAGGTCTTTAGACGAGACGTGAAGGAGGCAAGAGATGGGTGAGGCGGATAGAGTTCCAGAGTGTGGGGAGAGAGATGCTGAATGCCCAACTGCCAATGATGGGCTGGAAGTGCGGGAGACCTGAAGCAGGCTGGTATCCACCGAGCGGAGGGAGCAGACAGGCTGTTATGCAGTTAGGAGGTTGGAGAGATAGGAAGTAGCAAGACCATGGAGGGTTTTGAAGGTCAGAACAAGGGTTTTGTACTCGATTCCCTTAGGGATAGGATGCCAGTGAAGCCAGGCAAGAACGGGAGTGATAGGTTCATGAAGCCTGGTGCAGGAGAGGGCACGGGCTGCAGAGTTCTGAATAATCTGCATCTTGTGGAGGGAAGAGGTGGGAAGTCCAGCGAGCAAGCAAATGGCCTAGTCAAGCTAGGACATGGTGAGAACATGGATCAGGGTCTCGATGGCCTGCGGTGAGATGCAGGGGAGGAGGGGGGCAATGTTGTGGAGATGGTGAAAGATGAAACAAGTCACAGCACAATTGTGGGATTTGAAGGATAGCTGAGGGTCAAAAAGGTCAAGAAGGTTTCATATTAGCTCGGTAAGGTGAAGAGTGCAGCTATGAATAGTGCTAATATCAGCAGCTGAGGTACGGAGATACTGCCGGGAGCCAAGCAGGAGGGTCTCTGTCTTGCCAATATTGAACTGGAGGAAGTTGGCTCTCGTCCAGGATTTGATGTCAGACAGACAATTTGCCAGGACATCAACGGTCCTGGAGTTGAGGGTAGAGGCAGCGAGATACGAGTTAGGTGTCATCTGCATACATGTGGAAATTGACGCCATGCCTGTGGATGAAATCGCCGAGTGGGAGCATGTATAGATTGAAGAGGAGGGACCGAGGGCAGAGCCCTGAGAGACCACCACACATGACAATGCGGGGACTAGAGGAGAAGCCGTTGGTGGACATTAAGTGCAAACGTTGGGAAAGGCAGGGTTGGAACCAGGCAAGGACAGAACCATTGAGGTGGAAGTGAGAGAAGACGTGGTGGAGAAGAAGTGGTCGACAGTATCGAAAGCGTCGAGAGGTCAAGAAGGACAAGGAGCAAGTTGTCAAGAGCCAGAGGGCGTGTTGGGGACTGTTAAAGTCTAACCAGCTAAAACCGCATAACTTGAATTTTTATTCATCTCATTGGTTCAGTATTAGGAGAGTTTTTTCAGTAGCTAATCAATGATTAGCACAGATCATACTGATGCAGTATAAAATAAATTCTACAAATGAATTAAATCCATTTGTTCCTGATTCACAATTTATAAAATATTCATAATATCACAACCTGAATCTTGTTTTGTCCAGTCTTGTGAAGCACTGAGATCAGCAAATTTTGGTAGCGACCCTGTGAAATGGTCTGAGATATCACCCTACAAGAAGGGTGCGATATAATTCCAAGTTCTTAGATTTACTGAAGCTTATTTTACTCTTTGATGTTTTTTAAAGGAGTGGACATTGAACTGAAACAACAACAGGGTAGAGTCCCAGAGCACTTGTCAGTGGTGGAGCACGACACTGGGATATACGTTTTATTATGTATGCAGCCAAGAACTGTAGATGGAGAAGAAGGAGCAAGGTGGAGGGATTGAGGGAGAGGGTGTTCCAGAGTTTTGGAGAGCAGTGGCTGAAAGCTTGGCCACCAATCGTGGAACGGAGAGACAAGCAGGAGGCTGGAGCCAGATAAACCTTTTAATTTATGGCTAAACGGGGAGTTTGGTGCTCCTGGAGTGGTCTGGAATCCAGAACGCAGCTATGCTCCAGCAATTCAGAAATAACAACAGCAACAAGAGATTACATTTGTATAGCTCCTTTCTCATCAGGAGGATTTTCCAAGATGCTGGACAGTCACAGATCCGCACCCGAGCTGATGATCGGGATCAGGAAGGGTGGAGGGCAGGGAGGGTAGGGGTAGGAGGGTAACCGAAGGCACGGTCAAAAAGGGTCTTGAGACAGCTAGGGGAAATAAGAAAGGAATAAACATCTTCACGGACGCGTGAGGTATGTTTTCAAAGTGGCAATAACCGAGTCTCTGGAGAGACAAGTGATGTCTACGGTATTTGGCTGACCATACAGCATCATGAGGGGAACCATCCCTTCATTAATTGTGGTGCCGCTGAAGAGAAACGAAGAGCAGCCTGAGTCACAGAACACGAGGAGACAGAGGAGTGGAAGGAAGGGGAAACAAATGCTCTAAATAACCAAAAATAAAATAAAAATATAAACTACAGATTACAAAAAGAGATGAAATTAACAGGATCAAAATAAAAACGGGGAAGAGACAAATAGGAGAGAAACAATTGTTTGAAAATAGCGAGAGGGAGAGTCCCTGAGGGTGCTGACACTATAACATTCAGCACTACTTCACTGCTGCTAAACATCCCAACTTTGTATCGTACCATTGTTCAGTAAGAAAATATACATCACACGGAAGCGTTGATAGTTTTCAACTACTTTATAAAATGAGATAATATTTTATTACAAAACTAGGCTTTTGAAACCGCAGCTGATTCTACATGCAAGTTCATATGATTAGAGATACTGCACTGAGCACATTTTACTTTTAAGCATCAGATAAATCTGTTGCAGTAATATAAAAATTGATACAGTACGTACGGAGAGATGAAATTCAAATCAGAAAGAAAAATTTGACATGATTTTGTTTTAAATACAATATAACAATCACTGCAACAGATATTTAATATTAAATGCGAGATTAAATAGTCAGTATAACTTAATATAAGTTCGACAGATATTTTCATGGCATACTACATTTAGATATTTACAAAAAGTATTTCTAAAGGAATATAGGTATGAGATTATAATTTGCTAAGGGAAAAAAAACATTTAAAATATAAGACATGCTAAATGATTGATGTACCAATATTGTTATGTAAATGTATATATAACAAGGAAGCATGTCAGACACATCCATGCCCCAATAGCAGACAGTTGTCAAGTCATCCAAGCTTTCTCTTCAGTCATATGGTTCATAAGACTCTGAACCTTCCCATAATAAGTTATCATGATGGCTTTATCCAATAATGCACCATGCGGCTGTAATAAAATCAACCATTCAAAGTTATTCACAAACAAAACGTGGATAACTTACAAATTAGTTACATGCTACAAAAAAAAGTGACAGAACATTAAATGAACACAAAAATGATCTGCATTATATATTTTGCTGTTATTTAGTACGGACTGTACATTTTGTAACTGTAATGGAAGCAGCGATAATAAAAAAACTCTTATTTATAATTTAATCTGTAAAAAAGTGAAATAGAATTTGCTATATTAAAATTTATAATTTTTGCATTGTAGTGTATCTAGCGGTTGAAAGCTTTCACTCTAAGCTTCAAGAGAAATGGTGTCTGAATTTTACCAATCATTTTTGTTTAGTATTTTTAAACAATTTTGGAAAAATCTCAGTTAATGTTCTAATTTTTCGCAACTCTAAAATAGTTTAAACTATCTGACAAATATTCCTCTAAGTAATAAGAAAGAAGATCTTCTGTTCGCATGTATTTTCTCTACACACCAGTGAATATTCCTTCTAAGCCTTTTCCATGTCATTACATGTGATGCACGACTCTCTCTCCATGGCACATACTGCATAACCTCCCCTCAGGATACTCTTAGTTTTTGGCACAAGAATGCAGCTGTACTCAACGAAAAATACAATTACAACAAACCAATAGCTAAAAAAACAATGTACAGGATTGCTCGCCTCAATGGCTTAGTTTGTAAAACATGTGCCAAGTGTGAAATGAAACCAAACGACTTTGGAAGATTCAATTCAGAGTCTGTGCTGAGTTGGCTAATTGCAGCCACACAGAGAGTGTTGCTACAATTGGTTTTAGGATCCCTGGGTTAGAGAGGAAAGTAGCAGTCAGTGTTTATTTACCTTTCTGAATTGAGCCGTGCATGTATTTGGATATCGGTTAAGAACATGATTGGGTAACTTGTGATGCCATCCACAGTTGAACAGTATGTGAAGATTGCCTATCTATGTTCACACAGGAAGAATAGCCAGTTCAACAAGATATTGGGAGTCTCATGTGGATCCTTCCCTCAGCACCTTAATGTGGTATTGGACAATGAGATCTTTAAATTTCCACGCAATTCATATGTGGTGAAAAAACCTCCGTTTCACAATAGGTTTTAATGTCATATCACATAAATGGGTAGCAATTCCACCCGGGTTTAGATGTACTCTATTAAAGAAGTATTTCAAAACGTTCAGAATTTATCAAATTCTTAAAACAGTCATCACTTTGAAGTTGGTTTTCTTTAAGTTTATTCTAAGAACTGCAGAAAACGAGCTTCAGTATTAAAACTGAACTCAACAGTTTACTGAATTCTGCACTCTGCAAAGCTACCGGTGGAATTTTACTCACACAAATCTGCTATGAAAAGTTGCATTTTTCACGTCAATGGGTGCATTCTGGTGAACAGCACTGAACTAGATATAAGCGTGTGTTAGCCCTTTGTGTATATGTGTGCATGTGGGATGGGAAGTGGGGGTGAGAGGCACCAAGTTTCTACCTGTCTGGAACAGTTTCTGCCAGTTTCTGTTCTAAAATAGCATCTCTATCTCATCACATACATTCATCTGGAAAACACATGAAAACAGGTATTTTTGTAAAATTGCACTGCACCAAAATTGCTGGGGAAAATAACAGTTGAGACACACACGTAGAAGCTGGTAAGAGCATGATTCAAATCTTAAACAGTATTTTTGCTAGTTTTACGCTAAAACATAAGTCCTGAGTAAATGTTATCCAATATTTTCAGTAATATACAAATGTAAATGTTGTCTCAATCAAATTTCAAGATAATCTTCCATTCATAGCAGGAAATGGCAACCTTTTGTAACTGAGAATTTAGATTTTTTTAATACAAATTCACTCTTGCATATCTAAATATGTACAGAGCAAAAAGTATCCTGCAAAAAAAATTCTTCTAACACTTTCCTATTTTGCCATGTGGGTCTCTGGGGTCACATTTGTAGTGTTTCACAACAGATTCAAAGTGATAATTATCAATCACCGCAAGTTTCAACCCAGTATGAGAATTTTCATCACTTTTCTCAGTCCACGTATAAAAATGGAATTTTAAAAAATCTTTTTACACCAAACTAAAGAACAAATTGATCTGCTTATCATATACAAAATAAAATGTCAAGGAGATTGGTGGAAGGCTATAACACAAATCTCAGCATCACATAGCATTTATAAAGCCCTCCAGCATTGCTCCAGTGTTATATCATGTTCTTTTAACCTCTCAATATTACATATTGCAGGCTTATCATACGCCTTTCACCATCTGTAAACTGCTTAGTGTGAAATCTGACTGTGTTGTGCACTTGTTAGTGTTCCTATGCATGATAATAACTAGCTAGAGATTGCTCTTAAATAGGAAGCTGTTCAAATATACAAAACTGTATCAACACATTATGCTTTAAAAAATATATGGAAAGGTAAAGGTGGAAAGATCATTACAGTTCAAGCTAAAGCAGAACTGCTTAAACTGGTTAATAAAATAATTTCTTTTTATGCTTTGTAAATTTACTCTAAACAAATTTAATTACATTTATAGTTATCAGAAATACTTATTAAAATGCAACCCTAATATAAGGCTGGACCACTGTTCAGTGTGGTAAAGAGGAAGCACTTCTTCCCGTTGATCAAATGCCGAAGGTTTATCGTTGTATACTTCATTCAGGCAACACATCATTTTACCAGCCTGTTCGAGCTGCATCTCATCAGCAAGCCAGGATGATGCCATTAGTTAGAATAGAAACGGCCTTTGCTGTTATTGAAGAGTTTCTCACTGAGAGTCTGTGCGTTATGTACAAGGCAGAAGAAGTCTTCATGAGTCTCCATCAGGCGGTGGCTGACATAGCTTGTACAATCTAGTGGGAACAGATGGCAAATATTACACCAAGAATGGTCTAAGTGCATCAGCTTTGTTGAAGATTCACTGCTGAGCACTCGCAGAGAATAAACAGGAATCCTATGTAGTTCAATCAATTTCTCTAATCGGTTGCTGCACATTAGAGCCACTGCTCAGTGAAGATGATTCAATACTGTAAAAGCTTCAATGCTACCAAAGAAATAGCTACTTACCTTAGCAATTAAATCACAAAGTATTAACAAAGGGGGCCTTGGGATGCACGCATTAAACATTGGACTTGTATGTCTGGAATCCAGGCACAATTCCAGCCCTGGTTCGATTCCTATCTCTCTCACCGTCTCCACTTTGTTGCCTCTAACGGTTTCTCCTCCAGCCCCCGCACTGTCACGTCTGGCGTCCCCCAGGGCTCGGTCCTTGGCCCTCTCCTCTTTAATATCTACATGCTCCCCCTTGGTGACATCATCTGCAAACACAGGATCAACTTCCACATGTATGCGGATGACACCCAACTCTATCTTTCTGCCTCCACCCTCAACTCCAGGACCACTGCTGTCCTGACAGACTGCCTGTCAGACATCAAGTCCTGGATGAGGGTAAATTTCCTACAGTTTAATGTGAACAAGACTGAGGCCCTCCTGATTGCCCTCTGCACCTCAGGCTCTGGCAACATCAACCTCCATGGTTGCATACTACAACACACCAAGCCAGTCAGGAACCCAGGTGTCTTGTTCGACCCTCAACTGTCTTTTCTCTCCCACATTCAAGCCATGACCTGCTCTGCCTTCCCTCACCTCCGTAACATCGCCTGACTCCGCCACTATCTCACCCCTCAGGCCGCTGAAACTCTTGTTCATGCCTTCATCACCTCCAGGCTCGACTATGCAAACACCCTGCTTGTCGGCCTTCCCAACTCCTCCCTCCACAGGCTGCAGATAATCCGGAACTCTGCAGCCCGTGTCCTCTCCCGCACCAAACTCCATGACCCCATCTCCCCCAACTTTCGCCCGACTCCACTGGCTCCCTATCCTTCAAAGGATCCAGTTTAAGATCCTGGTCCTCACATACAAAGCCCTCCATGGCCTTGCCCCACCCTACCTCTGCGACCTCCTAACCCCCAACCAACCCGTCCACTCCTTCCGCTCAGCCGGCTCTGGCCTGCTCCACGTCCCCCGACCCACCTGCTCCACCATTGGCGGGAGAGCCTTCAGCCACTCTGCCCCCAACCTCTGGAATTCCATCCCCCAATCACTCCGTCTCGGCCCCTCCTTAGCCTCCTTCAAGTCCCGCCTCAAGACCCTCCTCTTTGACCATGCCATCGGCCACCCCCCTTCCCCTCCCCTCCCTTAACCCCCAACCCCAGCTCAGGTCTGAAATGCTGTATCTGTCCAGCACCTTGGGATGTCCTTCCAATATGAAGGGCACTATACAAATGTAATCATGTTGTTGTTGTTGTTGTTGATTAAGGGGCTGAAGTCCCCTTTGTTGGCTGCAGGGATCTTATGGAAATGAATCCAGTTTCTGGTGGATTTAGGAACACGGACTTTGATTCTCTCTTACATGTTCGCAGGATAGAAATATCCAGGCTGCCTTCAATCATTGGCTTGAGTTGTTGTACAACAGGTTTTAGGACCCTTCCTGTAAAACATACTTCCAACCACTTGGAAAATCCACTATGAATGTATTGGTCGTGCATAAGAAGATAATGTTACCGACCTATAAGTGATCTATTTGTTAAGATATGGATTATCTAAGTCAAATACATTTAATAAGTCATGTATTCTAGCAGAGCATTCTTTGACATTGATCCACTTAGTTTTTCAAAATCTTCAATGGATTTTCACATTGCCAACTTTCACTCAAATTAAAATACAATGCACAACTTTGTGTCTCAACTTCACCATGCAGCATATCAGTAAATGGGTTCAAATGCATCACAAAAGCTTTGCAATAATAACAACAATAATAATCCTTGCATTTGATATAGTTCCTTATCACGTCTTTGAGACGCTTATAAGCACTTCACAGAATATACCGCAAAGTGTAGTGACTGTGTATATTGTGCGCGAAACACGGCAGCTAATTGCGCATAGCAGTGTCCCACAAACAGTCATGGATTGAGTGACCGAATTATTATTGTTATTATTTTTTTAATTTGGAGGTATTATTACCCCCGGAAAAGCGATTTACCAATCGACTAACAACCGGGTTCCTATTTACTGCTAGATAAACAGTAAGGAAATAAGGAAACTTGTCCTGCCTGGGAATCAAACCTGAATCCTCTCGCTTGCTAGGCGAGCGCTCTAACCATTACATTACAGGAAAATTCAGTATTCGTTTTCCTTTTTTTAATTGAATCAGGTATTCTGCAGTTCTGCATTCATCAACAATCACCGATGCTTCTTTATATGTGCTAATTATCTCATCCCATCTGTTATGAAACACCGTATTATTCCACCTCATTTTCATAAAATTATAGATTGACTTTGTTTTATTCTGGAAAACCAAAATGCGTTCACCTCATTGAAAATCTAGTTACTGAAAAATTCTATTGTCAATAATAGGATCCTATTACCTTGCTGGTCTCAGCATGGAACAAATTAGAAGTGGGTGGACAAAGGCTGATAGCCCGAGTTTGCTGAGTGTAATGAGCTTGAGTTGATGTCGGATGTTATGCTAATTGGTAATGCTGAGCTGAGGAAAAGATTTAGATTTAGTCGTTGAATCTTTCAATTTTTTAAAAGTTCTAATGTCCCACAATTACACACTTTCTGACATTTAATTAGGATCGAAGGACATAAATTATATTTTATAATTTAGAGCTCTTCTAAACGAGGTCTATCAAGATTGTGCAGATTAATTCAGAAGATTAATTTCCTTGTTTGGACTTGACCTCATAATCTGGTTAGCATTGTATTGTGAGAGTTGTTATTGTTTGGATGAGAGAATAAACCAATTCTGCCTGCTGTTCAGGCATGGGCATTGCCAAACATTAAAATCAACACCATTCAATCAGAAAAGGGAGTTTGTCCTGGAGGTCTGGCCAACAATCTTTCAGATTAATTGGTTATTTACTTCATTGCTGTTTGTGGAACCGAACGACTGCTGTGTTTGTCTACAAAAGCAATCACTGCACTTGACAGTAACTACTTTGTAAAACAAAAATGATTTACATTTATGTTCACATGAGGTAAAGTCTCAGAAGGCTGAAGGTCCTGCAAAGCACTGGGAGAATTTTTGATATGATAAAGCGTCATGTTATGCAAGGATTATTATTTTTTAAATGTTTCAGTCATTGCAGCAATGTCTGAGAGAATGGAGAGAGGTCCTTGAGGAAGGCCTGATTTGTATCACATTGGGAAAAGTCTTAAAGTGTTTGCTACTGCTGCTGGCTGGGCAATTGAGCTGGGGATGGGAGTTGAAGAGGGTGTGGAGGGGTAAGATGCCTGAAAGCATAGTAGGTCTTGAGATAGGCTTTGAAGGTGGGAAGGGAGCAAGCGATTCTGAGGGACTCTGGGATGAAGGTCCAGAGAGAGAGGGCAGGTTGGCTGAAAGCCTGCAATGGTGGGGACACGGATAGACAGGGGAAAAGCAGTATTGAGCAGATGTGTATAGCTAATGTTTGAGCTAATATTCGAGGTAATTAAGAAGCTGTGAAACAGTTTGTTTTGGGAGGAGAGAGAAATCGTGTTATCAATTACCAGCAAATGATATCAAACTATGTGTTAATTGAATATTAATAAGGAGGTAGGACTGAGCAGGGAATCTGAGCCCAGCTAAGCAGAGAATTTGCACTGTGAAGAAAACTCAGCTGTTACCCGAAATTTTATCACAATTACACGGTTTCTGTCCATGTTGTCACTTTGCTCAAACTGAAAGGTCCGTTCTCTGCCACGTTTAAATTCAAAACAATGGAAGTGTTTCTCGTAAGAACATCAAGGTGTTCTTCGCTTGTGTCAGACCCGCAACAATCATCCTTCAAATAGTAATGACTACGAGCTGAATTTAATCACATCGTACTCCGTCTGCTTTTACAAGGTGTTGTCCTCCATTTAATCTGGGAAGGAATCCAAACTTTTCTTTCGGTAGTAAAACAGACATTTTTTTTTCATAGTTCAGGCAACTGGATGGACTGTTTCCCAGTCATCCCATATGAAAAAGTAGTTTCCATTTGACATCCTCCGTTCAGATCATCTCTTCAGGAGTTATGGGAGTTAGGGCCTGATAGCCGCAGTCTTGTTATTTATTTATATGTTAGAAAGTTAACACAAGTAATGCTGGATTCACTGCCATTCTTGTCCTCACTTTTAAATGCCTCCATGACTCTTCACAACTCGCCCTGACCTATCTCTGTGACCTCCTGTGCCTCTACTGCCCGGGCTGTTCCCTCAACTCAAAAAGCATTGCCTTGTGTCCGCCATCTACTCCCCCCCACCCCCGCGCCCCCCCATTGGCAAGCAAGCTTCAGCCATTCTACCCCCAATCTCTGTAACTCCCTTCCAAAGTCCCTCCACCTCATCCCCTCCCTCTCCGTCTTTAAAACCTGCCTGAAGACTTGGGCCAATAGAAGAGCGCACTTGCAATTTCCCCCCAGAATCTGCTACAAACACCCTCCTCTGCTACAAACCTGTAAGCACAGTGTGCTGGGCCCCTTGCCTCTGTGTACTGTTGCTGACTGTTTACTCGACGTCGCTACTGTGGGCAGAGCGGATCCGGACGCGCATGCATGGTATGGCGCAAGCGGGAAATGGGTCTCGCTCACCCCCAGGCCCTGCTGTTCAGATGGTCTGTGTGTGTCTGTGAGTGCGTGTCTCCCTAGGTCTGTGAGTGTCCATGTCTGTGAGTGTCTGTCTCGCTGTCTGCGAATGTGCGTCTCTCTGTCTATCTGTGAGCGTTTGTGTCTCTTTCTGTGTCTGAGTGTGTGTGTGTGTGTGTCTCTCTCTCTGACTGTGAGTGTGTGTGTGTGTGTCTTTCTCTATGTCTGTGTGTGTTTGTCTCTATCGCTCTGTGCGGTGGGGGGGGGCCTGAGAGGCAGGAGGTAGTGACCTCCTGGAGCCCCGCAGTGGCTCTGGTGTTTCTCCTCCCACCCCCGCCCTGCCTCTCAACAGCACCAATCAACTTCTCGCAATTTCCTGCAAAATATGTCAAATTTCCCAGCAATTTTCCACAGAATTTATCAAATTTCTCAGCAATTTTTGGCAAGTATTTCCGCAATTTTCTACTGGCCCTGCTTAAGACTTATTCCTTCTACTGCGCTTTCGGCCCCCCTCTCCTCAGCTCCCTCTCCAGCCTTGGGCATAAGTCAATCAGCTGTGCGATGTCCTATGAATATGAACGGTGCAATATAAATGTAAATTGATGATTGTGGCATTGTGAGTATTTTCAGAAATGAGTTGTACATCAACATTAAAACATATGTACCTCATGAAACATTAGAGAGTAAAATAAAACATGCGTAAATTGCATAGCGATCTTAGAGGGGTGGAGGGGTGGGGGGGCAGAATAATGAAAAACAATTCAGAAAATAGGAAGGTCTGAAGAGTACTCTGCAATGACATTGCAATGCAGCACCATCTTACAAAGGCCAATTAATCAGACACTGAAGAGAGACTCCAATTCTGCGGCTGAAGATGTCATAGAGAAATCAGAGATAAATCAATAGCACTATGACATGTCCATTAGCTTAATTATTTATAGCAGTTACCTCGGGACAGAATGTGGTGTTCGGTCTCTCACTCCAAGATTCTTGGCAGAGTTTTGCACTCTTGCTCCCTGCAATAAAGGAAACACGTTCTTACTGGCATATAAGACTGATCCAATTGCTTTAATGCATTTCTTGGAAGAACCTGCAGCAATATAAATATGAAATCAAATTAGCTTTACTCATTCAGGATGTATAGCAACTACATTATAGTGTTTCCTGGACCATGCTCTTTGGGGAGAAGTTGTTTTTTCTTCTAAGAGGATTATACTTTAAAATGACTTCAGTCTTGCAGCATCATTCCCTGTAATATTTCTCTTGGGTTGGAGACTTCCAATGATCTTTAATAACTGCAACATTTCCAGGCAAAGAACAATATTTTTCAACTTGCGAAAAACAGAACCATAGCAATTTGCAGCACAGAAGAAGGCCATTTGGCCCATCATGTCTGAATTTTCTTTTTGAAGTGCCTCAAGATGATAGAATCAAACTTATATTTAAGTAGCGCCTCTCACGCGTTTCACGCTACTGGCTGGGCACCCAAGCTGGGGGCAGAGGGTGGGGAGCCGAAGAAAGTGGGGAGGGAAAGATGATCAAAAGTGTAGGCAAAGAGATATGTCTTTAACTATGCTAGTTAAAGAGTTCATGTATTTTACACTGAAAGCTTTCAGAATATTGTTCACCGTGATTCTTCCAACTGGCTTTTGATTGAGTTGTTCTATTCAAACGCTAAGCTGATTTACTGATATGAAATGGTGCTAGAATTCAATAAACATGGTTCATTTATTTTATACATTGCAAGAATGTCAGAGGATTTTTTTCACTCGATTTTGTACTTTGACGATGCTATTTAAAGCAAATGCACCACATATATAATTGCAGGGTAGCTCTTATTGAAATATTCATGGTTTCAATTATCTTTGCACCAAAGTTTCCACATTTTTCATTACTTAGACGCTAAAAGTTAATTTGAGCTACAAAATGAATATATATTCATTACACAGGCTGCTTTCCTCTTGTCCTTCAGTCTCAGTGATAAAACCGGCAATTTACGGCTACATAACTTGTACCTGGCATCACTCTCTGTTTTGCTACCGGTTTAATGTTTCAAATAATGAAAGGGGGTTCTGAATTAAATGGGATGTCTTAGAGAGCCAAAAGACATTTTCTTGGAGAATTATGTACAAAGGACTTGGAGAAATGACATCAATGTGTAAAAAGGCTTAATTAATACCGGGAGACAAAATATCCCTGTAATAGCTGTAAATAGATCATTATGTCATCAATAACTTTCAATTACATTGAAATGCTGACTGTGGCATTCTCCTCTTCAATTATTACATTCTCACTTCTGCAATGTAATCAAATATGTTGTGCCAATGCCAGGGATCCTTAAACCTTTCTCTTTCATAGACATATTTGGTCCCACGGTGGATTCACCAACGAGGAGGATTAGAGAAGAATAAAATAGTAGCAAGGAACAATTACTATTGTGGAAAGATGAGGCTGCCTGATAAACATGGGAGTGAAACCTTAGACATGTGATGTCACAATATTGAAAATGCGTTGGAACCAGTTGATAATAATAATCCTTGCATTTTGATATTGCACCTTATCACATCTTCGAGACGTCTCAAAGCGCTTCACAGAATATACTGTAAAGTGAATTGACTATATTTTGTGGGAGAAACGTGGCAGCCAGCAGTGTTCCACAAACAGTCCTGGATTGATTGACCAAATTATTATTATTTATTTTGAAGGGACTATTATCCCTTTACTCTATATATTTATATACAGTGGAAGCTGGTTAAGCTGGATACATCGGGGCCTGTCGTTTTGTCCAATTTACCTGGTGTCCGAAATTAACCGGCATCCAGTTAAAGCAGCTTCCACCATATTGCCAATTTACAGTTAAATTTTTTTTTAATTATCAGCTTTCAGCATTTATATAGATGAAGTTCTTTGAGACATCCTTGCGTGAAAGCTGTGAATTGCACATCCACCACAAAAGGTGCCTTGAGCAATATAAAGTCAGTTTGCTTCAGGCAATGTGAAAGTCACTATATCAATATAAAGTCGAAATTATAAATAGACAGATAATACATAGTTCCCATTTCTTGTTTCGCAAAAATACTGCCTTCGTAATCTAAGACAAGAAGGATTGAACACAATCATTTCGACCTAAAATTAGACTTAAATTAAATCTCTTAAACATGTGGAAGAGAACAGTGTGCCTGGGGAAAAGCTGTGCTCAGTAAATCCAATAATCCTTTAATTTGCCAGTACGTCTCCCAGCCTTAAATGCCCAACTCCACTGTCCTTTTCAGTGTTCCTGTACAATAGTTTTAATGCAAAAGTTGAGATTTTAGATTTCACTACAAGACTCAATTTACAGCATCAGTTGAAATATGTGGTTGAAGCCGTATTCTTGCAAATCAAAGTGACACGTACTGAGTTGCCTGAAGCAGACAGACTTTATATAGCCCGAAGCATCTTTTCTGGTAGGAGATGCATTTCACACAGTGTTTTCCCTACAGATTTATTTTCAACCCCCCAATGCCTGTCTTATCTATACAAACACACATCCAAATTCATCTGAAAATTCAGAAATGCATCATGCCATTGAAGTACAGAAAATTAGTGTTTGAAACACTGCACAATCTAAAAATAACAGTTTACATTTATATACAACGACAACTTGCATTTATATGGCCCCCATCATGCGGGGTAGTATCCCGGAGCGCTTCCTAAGAAAGCTCAGTTGGTTGAGCACTTGAGACCAGTAAGTTCTGGGTTTGAATGTTTATGTATTCACTCAGCTTTTTGCCCATTTGAACTGGATCCCATTCTGCCCAGTAAGACTGTGTTGGTTGGGACATTCGGTACAGATTTGTATCAGTCCCAGTGAGATCCACATCTAAATCATAACAGATACCACTCAAACTACCTGGATACCAATAAGTTGTCAAATACAAAGAGCTCAGCTGTCACCATATCATGTGGGTAACATTTCAGTAGATGGGGTATTTCCATTGATAAAACATCACATGGAATAGGGACAGTTTGGACAGTTCAGCTGAGGGTATGGTTTCCATCAAGCCAAACTTCATTGGATACACACTGTAACATTGGATACACACTGTAACATGAAGGGAAGGATGTACAAAGTGTAAAACTGTACAAAGAAACCTGAAGTGAAGCAAAGCATATGGTCATGGTCTGTATCCTGCCTGTTGGACTAGCACAATAGCTATGCACCATCTGACCATCTACTCAAAGGCCAAGAATCAACTCAAGGCATCTGATTTCACTACTGCTGCTCTTACCAGAAGTAATCAAAGCAGTCAGTCACATAGATGCTGCAAAGAAAAACAAGCAGAATTGCGAACATTATTGCAACAGGGGATAGTGCATATACATTATGAGAACATGGGAGATGTAATGATATTATTCATCCATAAGATGGGAGTGTTTTCATCTGGCATTCTAATCTGAACAGGTTGTTCAACAGTTTTTATGGAGAATGAACATGCGAGGAAAAGTGACCCATTACTGTCTATTAGGCCTTGAACAGAAGGACTTTTCTGCCGATCTTCCAAACTATACAGAAATGTAGCAGTTTCCACATAAAGCAGAGTGGTTTCCCAAATGTCAGGAATCTAACACACACGGAGAACAACTCTGGATTCACACCTTAAGAAGCAAGAGGTTAACTTCTTGATCCAATAACACACAATCCATCCCTGAAAATTAGATGTTCTGATCAGAAACGTGTGAGTTGTAGCTTAGAAAACAAGAAAGGCATGTTTCATGGATGTGGAAAATTTTCTTCATGATTCATAGGGTAGGTAAGCTCATCAGGGAGGCAAACTTCAGCCTGGTCCCCACCCTTCTAAGGACAAGTCAGATGAATGACATGTTCCTATTTAAAGATTCTGGAAGTAGGAGAAAAACAGTATCCAAGATGCACAAGAGAGATCATCATCAAAATCAACGGGACTCAAACTTGGAAGCAGTAATCAGGCATTCAATAATTCTACAGAGTTTATGGACTACCCAGGGAGGTAGCAGAAGGACTCTGTGTCAGTGAATTCAAGGTGGAACGGGATAGTTATTCTGCAAAGAATTTCATTTTGCGGTGTTGGAGATGGTAGAGTGCAGGATTATTTACAATTATTATGTTATGACCAGTCTGTGGAACACAATGGTCTCAGTGCCCCAAGACATTGCCCTATGTGAAGGGCAAGTTGTTGTTATTATCCAGTTGTTTCATTCCTCCATACTGAAAACTTTGCCTTTAAAATGCAAGTGGAGAGCCACTGGAAGTTACAGTTCTAATGGAACCTGATAAAGCAGTGATGGAACCTTAATCCATCAAGATGTGGACTGAAATGGGAATTTCCAGCAGTGAATCCAGCAAATGCCCTTGATTCTACACATGTACAAGAAAATTAGATAAAATACTTGAAGAATGAAGAAAATATCACAGCCAATGCATGTCTGGTTTATTCTCAGCTGAGTGAGCTGCAAGGTGGATCAGCTGCTGTCCCTGGCATCATGAAATAACACCCCAAGCAACTTTGGGAGGAATCTAGCTGCAGTTTTCACAACTAAAAGGTACATCAAGCTTTTCAGCAAAGAACAATTGTGCTCGCGATGCTTCCATTTGTACCCGAGTCTTATTCTAGTGATACACACAGGATTTATTATATGACGAAAAGGAACAAGTCGAAGTATTTTAAAAAAGGAAATCAGAACATTTGGTAACTTTCGTACCTGTTTCCTCATGACATCCGTGGCTTGCATGATGTAGCGTGGTGGTAACGCATGACTTCTTGAAAGAATAATAGCTTGTTCCAGAGTGACACTCAGTGTGCAGCTAGATGGAAAGGAAAACATCAAATTAAAAGCTGTTACTTTGCTATTAATAGGTTTACAGTTCTCAGACACCTGAAGATAATACTGTTATTATTAATAATAATTCTTGCACTTGAGAAGAAGGATGTCTCAATGCTCTTCGCAGGATTTATTATGAAGTGTAGTGACCATGCATTGTAGGCAGCTGGTTTGCACACAGCAATGTCCCACAAACTGCCATGAAAGTTTGCCTAGACTGGCAAAGGTAAGTCTTCACAATTTTTTTTATTGAGTTTGAAATATTCTGCTTAATAAATCTAGAATTGGGTTTCATTCATTTTGAAATGTACATTCTATCCATTTGCTTTCCCTCCTTCCCTTCCTTATCTACTCAAGTCATGGATGGAAGCTGATCAGCAGGTTTCCATCTTCACCGAGAAATGTGTCAATGGCTCTGTGAGATCTCTTTATTAAGTTCAACAGTTGCACCATTACTAGGGAGCAACGTTGTTGAAATGTCAGATTCTAGATGTCATCATGTTTTAGGCAAGCTGTATAATTAAACGGGATCGGCAATAATCCATCTGGTGGGTTTCAATGCGCATCACATCAGTGCAGTCCATCCCATTTTATTGGGCCACCAAGACTTAGCTTGATGGGTAAAAGTTATAATCTACAAAATTAATTAAATAAAAATATATACAGGAGTAAATAAGAACCATGTGGAGTCAAGTAGCTCAGTGGTTAGAGCGCTCGTCTCACAAGTAAGAGGACCTGGTTTTGATTCCCGGCAGGGTGAAACATTGGGCAAGTTTCCTTACTCCAAGCGCCTTTGTTTACCTAGCAGTAAGTAGGAACCCAGTTGTTAGTCAATTGGTGGATCGCTTTTCCGGGGGTAATAAACCTTTTTAAAAAAAAATTCTAATAATAATTTGGTCACTTAATACACGACTGTTTGTGGGACACTGCTGTGCGCAATTGGCTGCCGTGTTTTGCCCACAAAACAGTGAAATCACTTTACAGTATATTCTGTGAAGCGCTTTGAGACATCTAGAAGACATAATAAGGCTCTACATGAAATGCAAGGATTATTATTATATTATGATACAGATGCACAAATGAAGAATTTTTGGTATAGCTGAGGCCAAAATATGAATATGATTTCTCTGGAGTCCTTCAAAGTTAAATTAAATTAGTCTGACTGAGATTTGAATGGTTGAATGAATGACAATAAGCTCACATTTTTCTGATCGATAGCCAAAAATAACTTCCACAGTAACAGCATTTCTTAAGGTCAAAGGATTTCAATGCCAAAATTCTCAGAATTTAAATTCAGTAATGTAGGAAGTGGCTTCAGTTGGGTTGCCTCACCCAAATTCACCTTATTTCGGGAGAACAAAATCATTTTTATTTTGCATTCTTTTAACTCTGTTTGAAGCAAACCAATTGTGGCAGCTCACTGTCGTTCTCTGGTTTCACCTCTTACAGAAGCCAACCTTTCCTATCTTATCAGTCCTATTTCATTGCATCAGTCATATAAGTTTTCCTCAGCAATCTCAAAGTGTCTTATTTCCTACAAGGTGCCATGATCCATGTTATTTGATCACATCTCGTCAATCACTGTCCAAGAAGACTCTGTATTTCATTTTGGTGTCAGACCTTCTGATTCTGTATTTTGTCCACTAATTTGATTTGTTTAATTATAGAATTAAGTCAATTCTCCACTCCTTAGAACAAATGCATTTCCAAACAATTGGCAATGTATGGTGCACAGTCACTCCTAAGGTCTTCCTCAGTACAGACATTGTTGCAGAATCGACTGATTTCACGTTCCTCACTCTCACTTTCAAATCTCTTCACATCTTGGCACCTCCGTATTTCTCTGATCTGCTTACACCTACTTCTCTACCCATCGCTCCACTGGCTTAACATTTCTGCACGTCTCTCGTCCCTGCGTTCTAAAATTGGTAGCTGTGCTTTCTGCCATAATGCCCTGAATCTCTGGAATTCTTTGCCTCAATCCCTTCATCTTGCCTCTTTGTTCATGTTCAAATCAAATCTGAAGACTTTCCTTCTCGACCGTGACTTCAATCAGTTCCCCTCACTTTCCGGCTCAGCATCAAGTCACGCTGGTGTTAAGTGTTCCAAGACGTTACCCGCATGAATGGTGCTACATAAATGCAAGTTATTGTTTTTGCATCAATACTTCAATTATCTTGATCTTTTGGTTGTAAGGTCAGAGATGATAGTCTCATTCTCAGTGAAAGAAACATAGTCCAAGATTGGGTATAGTTACTTCCCAGGTTTCCAATATGCTAACAATATTTATTTTGCATGTGTTCAATACTTCAGTTTTTAAAACTATATATTATCTATATATATTTAAGTCTAAGCATCCTCATTTTCGATATGATTCTGCGTCTTTGGTCTAGGTTTGATCTACACTTTCTTGCCTCTTATCCCAACCTCCAAAGAATTTGGTTAACTGCTTTGATCCACTAGGATGTATGTTGGTACTCTGTTTGCTTGCTAAACTCATCGCATTCAGTTTGGTTACTTACAATTAACAGTGTAAATCCATGAGCTTTAGAGTGTTCGTATTTCGCAAGAAAAGGTATAACAGGCAAACAGTTGGGACATTTTTTTAAAACAACTTTAGCCTTGACAGATCTCCAATAAATTATCTGGAGGTCTGACACATACACAAGGCTCTTGTTATGAAGCACCACTTCCTCTGATTACCAGTTTTCTATCGTAGCAAGACAGTAGCTATTCACAGTATTGAACAGCATCCCTTATCCAACTTAGAGGCTCTTTGTTGCTATGTAGACATTGAAATGATCTCTTCACATTATATTTAGAATTTGACCAAGCTGATTACAATAGATAACAGAAAGGATGCATTAGGAAACAGAAACCAGAGATTTATCTATTTAGTTTGGATAAAGTGCTTCCTAACAATAATTCTTGCATTTGGCGTAGTGCCTTTCACGTTAGGAGGATACCTCAAAAAACTTCACAAGATTTAAGGTGAATTGTAGTCACTATTTTGTAGGCAAACGCGGCAGCCAATTTACGCACAAGTAGCCATAAATTGAATTACTTATTTTATCCGGGGGATTGTTGGCCAGGACAATGGGAGAAACTCCCTTTAAGCACTCCGAGACGCCATCCGGCGTGAAGGGTGCTATATAAATGCAAGTTGTTGTTGTTGTTCTCTTTTTGAATATTGCCATCCAACTAAAAATCCTCCTGAATAGACAGACTGGGTCTTGGTTTATAATATAATAACAATAATCCTTGCATTTGATATAGCGCTTTTCACGTCTTCTAGAAGTCTCAAAGCGCTTCACAGAATATACTGTAAAGTGAATTGACTGTATATTTGTGGACGAAATGCGCAGCCAATTGCTGGGCCAATATACACCCAGCACTGCATGGGACTGTCAGCCCAGACCGTGAGTTCAAAGTCCATCGTGGGATTTTAATCCACAGCCTTCGGTCTCTGAGGGACGAAGGACATGTGGTGCAGGTTGCTTCCAACTAAGCCAGACTGACATACACACACAGGAACACAAGACACTTGGAGGGATTTCTCATGATAAACACACATCATCAATGTACTCTAAGCTTATCAGCACATAGAACATTACCCCTTTGTCTTCTGGTTAAGAGTGTCTATTTAAATGAAGAGCCACTACCAAATCCCTGAGATTTAATGCTTCGACAATTTGAATAACCTCATCAACCACGCAACATTGGCCAAATAATTGTTCTAATTAATTTGTCTCATAAGCTTCAGAGTCCATTTCATTCTTCAATCACTTACCAGAATAGATATTCTACTAGACTATATGTCACATATTGGTCACATATTAAAGCCAAGACAAAGAAAGCTATTTAATAATTGATCTTATACACCACTGCATTCTAACAGCAACAGAGTGTTCATTTATGCTAAGTTCACTCTGCATGTTTGGAAGCGAATCACTGTGATTTTGGCAGTCACTAAACTGCCCACAACTGCTCAAAAGACTCTTCTGAAATGTCATTAAGGATTTTATAATTAGTAATACTTGCACCTGATATATCACCTTTCAAATCAGGAGGATATCTGAAAGTGTTTCACAGGATTTACTGTAAAGGGTAGTGACTATTTTGTAGGTGAACTTGACAGCCAATTTGTACACAAAAAGTCCTACAAACAGTTATGAAGCGAATGACCACTTGTAGCTGGGGATTTTTGGCCAGGACACTAAGAGAATCTCCATTCTTTTAGTGCCGTGCAATTGGCTCTTTGTAATGTTAAGTTAACAACTCTCCAGTTCCATTTTTCTATACATGTCCTATTTGCGCGTGTAGAGAATTAGCTTAACTAGTATAAATCAGCTGTGCTGTTCCACATGACTGCTGCTCGGAGCGATAGCTCTTTGGTTTGAGCGAAGTAAATACAGCTTAAAACACTTGTGAAATTAATTGTAAAACATTTTCGTATAATTCTTGTTTCCCACACTTAGTTCAATCGTTCAGGGTTTTGTTTCATTTTTGTAGTTGTTGACCTCAATTCCAATTAACTTCACATGTTAACAGAAACCCACTCCTGATATGGCCAGCAAAGCTGGACGGGCCACATGCTTCTCAATTCCATCAGAGCCAAGTCCTTCCCTCATAAAGTCCTTATAATGCTTAATCCACATGCATAGTCATTAACTCTCAAATAATTATTATATCCATCCTTCGGATGAGATATTAAACTGAGGTCTCATCTAAATGTGTACGTTAAAATTCCATGGGACTATTCTGATAAAATTGATCATTCATTTCATGGCTGTTTATGGGACTTTAATAATAATAATAATAAATAATTCCTGCATTTTATATAGCGCTTTTCACGACTTCGAGAAGTCTCAAAGCGCTTCACAGAATATACTGTAAAGTGAACTGATTGTGTATTTTGTGAGATAAAAACGCAGCAGCCAATTGCACACAGTCGTGTACAAATTGTATATAAATTGATATATA